ACGAGAAAACATAACAGACACGACGAACTACAGCGAACACAATGTGCTCGGTCGCTCAAGTTATGCGATGTAGAGAGGATGAAAGATCAGCTAATGAGAGGACACTTATCTGACTGAGCTAGCACCATCCAGCATTAGCACACATTTACGGAGAATTAGCAGGGAACGTTTCGATAAATGCTCAGACCTTATAAGTTTAAAAAACAGCAAAACACCGATTCTCATATATGTGGAAGACGACACATCAATAGTTTTAAGGCAACGGGACGGTCATGGAAGTGGATAATTGCCAAGAAATATTAAGTCTCGTAATATTTTGCGCCAGCATTGGTTCATGTCATTGCGTTCGAATTTCGGTCGCGACACGCGAAAGCCTGCGGACCGTGGACAGGGACCTGAATGTATCATTGACAGAGGAATTCCACCGATCATTTACGCCAGCTGGCATTGATGTCAAACTCGCTAATTCATTGTTTTGAAATTCAGTGTCAAGGAAAGGTACGCAATATTCATTTATTATAAGCCAATTTTCCTCAGCTAGTTTCATCCTGTCTCACACAGGCTAAGATTTGCGCTATTGCTCTCCGCATAATGTACGATACACTTTATTCCGTCTTTGATGATAGCAGCTGGTAATTTAGGTCGTTTCGACATATCTTTCCTCAAAACATTAGTTACGATAAATTGTGTTACTGTACCCGACCAAATAGGCATTCAGTTAGATAGAGGCTTCGGACGCAATAACGCGCTGTTATACGAACTAGATAGATGAATTGATACCATGAGCATGTATACAGTTTCCTGGGTGATTCGGAAACACACGAGTTTGCTCACTTTTGTCGTGTTCCCATTAACCCTTTAGGAGTTTTGTCAGCATGGTCAGTAAGGTTGTCCCAAAAGCCAACTGACTGAGATACAACAACATCATATGCACACTCCAAGTGGCTCGCACTATTCCTAGTGTGTTCTCATGACCAAGACTCTAATTGATCGTGTGCAGTATTTCGGGAATGCATGTTGTCATCGCGGATAGAAACGGGTCGGCTGACACACGGCTAGAAATGAACCCATCCTCTGAATGCATAAGAAAAACAACGGCGCGGATGAGATCGCGTGTAGATTCATGATCTTAGATGAATTAGAATGTGCTTCGTTATCAAGTTATTTGTCGTTTGGATTTCAATAAGAGTACTGTGAATTTAACGTGTGAATTGCATGGAGCTGCCACATGGAGCGGCACGCTAGACAGTCGCTCGCAGATTGTTGTTATCTGTACGAAAGGAAAACGCCAGGTAAGCATCACGACAATCAACCATTTGAAGCAAGAAATTCAACAAACTTCGAAATTCACAGTACAACACACACACATTACACGAAAGAATGGTGGATGGAACAGATAATACTGAATGACTAATTGAATGGCTAATCAGAACACGGATTATTGTGAACAGCTGGTCCCATGCAGAGTTTGGAGAATGCGGCGGGAACGAATCAATCAAGCCGGAGTCGAAAATATTGTGGAATAAAGAACCACGTGAAACATGTGTATGA